ATGGCACAGCTTAACGATCTCTTAACGCGGGCAACCATTATCTAGAGCACATCGATCACTGCGATTAATTCTATTGAACTCTACAATCTACCTGCAGCGACGGTGATCTGCGTCGGAATTTCGAAACGATCAGTTGCCTCTTCCCTATCCCGTTCCCTCTATTTCGCACTACACTACTCTCTTTCTTTTACTTGCCATTCCTCTCCTCCGTCTCTACCGGTACGACGACCGGGTTTAGGCGAGGTTATCAGCCGCATTAGACGAGACGACGAACTCTCACGCTCCGTTCTTCCTCTTTATTGCTGCGACAGGATTTTTACCAAAGCATCCCCTTTACCTCTTTTGCCGTTTTCTGGGCATTCATCGTAAAAAATAATTATTCGCAAGTCTATTATATTGTGCTAAATTTCCGTATTGTCAAAAATAGAAAAGAATACTATAATTATAAGTCTCGAAAAAAAGAAAAGAGAATCACAAATAAAAAAAATATGACATATTGTCATGAATTTTACAAAGTTTTATAAACAATAGGAAGATTTGCGGCTATATATTTATGGTCAAATAAGGATCCTGAGTGTCTATTTAAATTTATTAAATAAATTTGAGAAATTATTTCTAAATCTTCGTCCCTAACTATGTGTTATTTATTAGAAATGTGTTATGTCAGAAAACACAGTTGTCAACTATGTATATAAACTCCATTTAATAACAACTTAATAACAACTGAGTACTCATAAGAAATTTTTATCGAGTAAAATAATCCCCTCAGGGATCGAACCTGCTTTCCGGACGAGTGTTTTATTTATTTATTTATTTTTTTTTTTTGAACACAGAAACATGTAATAATTTTACAAATTTTACTATTTTTCTGTTTTATAGCTTAACCAAATTCAAATTAACATATATTTCAAAATTGGAGTCGATTTTTTTATGAGATTAACAATAGTCGCGTTACTTTCGCTCGTACGGTATGACACGAAAATTATTAAACCGGCGCCTTGTAGGAATCTCCTTCGTTTTCGACATCGAATCGGTCGCAGCCGCGTCCACCTCGTCCGTCTGGCTGGTGCTCATCGTGCGACCAAAGCTCCTTACCTGGCCGATTCAGCGCGCCGAAGGAGAATGAACGAGACACGCGCGAAGCGATATGTAGATTTAACGTTGCGAGTGACCTTTGTCGGTCGTTGCACGTCCCGCCAGATAGCGTCGGGTGCATTTGTACTCTGTTCCGCGATCGCTGGTGCATACCAGAACCAGAACGCAGTGCAAGGGGGGTCTCGCGAAAAGAAGAGAGGGAATTCGCGCGGGGGTCCATTGCGAAGACTACCGATCTTTCATCAGCGGCCGGTTGCTTTATCCAGCAAGGTTCGAGAGCAAGAGTCCGATTAAGGAGTCGACGTCCGCCCTTCATTTTATTCCTCCCTTTCTCTTCGACATGATCACGCTACTACTCTACAGAATGAATTATCGATCGCGAGTTTTAGAGTTTCTTTGCCGAAAGAAATGGTTGAGATGCGTTTTCGCTCAACTCGCGAATTAATGTTTCTGGAACAGAAGACAAATCGATAGAAGACCGATCGTTTTCGGAGAATTTTAAATATTTCTTAAAGACATTTTAATTTCTTTTTTTATGTAAAATTTATTTACTAACAAAAATGTGAAGTTAGATAATTATTTATCGCAATCATAAAAGAGTATGCAAAATTGGAAAAACTTAGAAATTAATCTGCAGTCAAAAAAGTTGCAGACTAATCAGGCAGAAAACCCTATTATTTTTTTCCAACAATTTTCTATTTCGAAATTCGAAAATTAAATCATTAATCCTCAACGAGTTAATATACTATTTTAGCACGCTATAGGGCAGAATTAAAGCCCATATCACAGTACTGACTCCCGACTCGACTTTGACTCTGATTCTGCCGACAAATAGAATAATTTCTATTCTTGAGTCGACAGTCAGAGTCAGTCAATGCTTTGCTGTAATTGATTGAATAATAGTCGGAAGTCCTAGTCAATAGTCGAGTCAAAGTCGGAAGTCAGTAGTGTGATACGGGCTTAAGGATGCGCGATCACGCGAAGATCGAACCATTGTTAACGCGTAAGCACGTGCCTCTGAAGAAGCTCGACGGAGAGAGATCGGATATCGGCAGGCGGTGCAATTGCTAATAATTGCGCAGCATATTCGTGCGTACACGTGCGTACAATTATCATCAACGTGCCTCACGTTTCCAAGTGCATGCGATCCGTTGTAGATGAGTCCCAGAAGTACGTTTCGATTATCGTGTAACGTGCACGGCCGATCACGTTTCGGTCTTCTCTGCACACGCACGTCTCTTCTTCATATCATCTTCTTCTGCAGCTCTTCTTCCTCCTCTACACAATTCAGTTCGTTTTATAGTGGAGGGAAAGTGGCCCGTCCGTCGCATGCTATCGCGTAGAGTGGCTACGGTTCCGCGAGCGTATCATCGTGCGTACACGCGAGTTCACAAACGTGTGATTTATCTGAAGCGTGCAAGCAGATTCTGCACGTGTCAAGAGCTCGGCGACTGCTTTTTTTCAAAACTTCGAATAGTTCTTTTTTTATAATATCGCATTCTGGAAAAAGTTATAATTATCTATTGTAAGTTTTTAATCTGAAATCAGATTTAAAAAACTGTTTTTAATTTTCTGCAGATTATACTTGATTCAATTGTATTTCCATTCTAATACAATGTTTCTTTTATTGTGCTTTTGTATTTACTTATATGATTAATTATAAAGATATAAATTGATGGAATCGCGAATCTTAATTAATGATATATATATAAAGCATCAATTAAAGTCAAAATATAGCACAAATTAAAAATTAATACAAATAAAAAAATATATATATATAATTTATTTATTTGTGTTAATTTTTAATTTGTGCTATTTTAACATAAGATGTAAATAACTTTTAAACTTAAAATTTCTGAGCATAACTTTGTAATAACTTTTTTATGAACAAGAAAAACTTTCATTAGATGCATTAATTAATGAGTCCAAACAAAATTTTCTGCAAAAGGAAAACTTTCAGAAAATTAAATTTAACTCACATAAGAGTCCATTTTCAACAGCTAAAATTGACTACATTTAATTCGTTGAATTCCAATAGATATTTAATTGTAATACTTTATTTAATATTCCATAGATATTTAATTGTAATACTTTATTTAATCCGCTCTATGTCTATCTACATATATACATGCATGCGCGCGCGCACACGCACACACATACAAAATGTCTATCGAATACAAAAATATTATGAATCATATTAATTGTCAAAAAAATATTAATCTAAAATGCGAATTGAAGATCACAGATTTTCAATGTTTATGAACAAAAAATTAATGTAAGACTTATATCATATATCACGATATTGCGATATTTTAGTTTATAATTATATTTTTTTTCAACTGCATAGAAAACTTTTACATTATCTAAAAACACAAAAGATTTATTTATGTCATATTTTAATTCTTATTATGCTATCTTTTAAAAATTATGAGACAAAAAATAAATTAATAATACTATATTCCAGTTAGTTTGGTAGTTTAATACAATAATAAATTTTCATTACTTGCAATTTTGAGATATAAATATCAAATAAGTCATATATTTTTCATCAATAAATCTTTCCAAGATAGCTTTCCAAAAGGTCAAGGAGTATACTTCCGCATTTGAAACTTTTCCGGATTTGTTCAAGCGGCCAGTAGGTCGATAGGAAACTGAGCTCTTTTATTTCTTTTTAAATTTTTTCCTCGTTTTAACTCGCTTGGGCACGTACCAAATAAATTGAATTCGGTCTGCAAAGATATAATGAACATTTGAACTTGCACGTGATTGGCAAAAGCGAGTGATAACTTGCACGTGAGTGAACATACTTGCAGAATGCACGTAAGGTGAATTGAACTTGTAAAATAAAGCCAGTTACATGTATAGTTGTATGTATAAGGGCAACGAGTCGTTGGTAATTGTATGTGTGTGTGT